CCTTCAGGCGGGCATTTTCTTCTTTTAGCTCATTCCTCTCCTTTTGGGCCTCTGTCAGAAGATCTATAAGCTTCTGCCCAGATGAGGAGAACAGTATTGTGGCCAGAGAAGATCCAAATGAAGAAGAAGAGTCACTAGCAAGGCCACTCTTACGTTTTTCGGAGGAAGTACCAACGACCTCATCCTCATCAGAGGGACAGGAATCAGCAGAATTTGGGTAAGAAACAAATTCCATAGCAGCACCGGCAGCACTGAACAGAAACAAGTTATCCAGCATCACCAACTTAGAGTAGGGCAGAGGCTCAACTTCAATCATCTGATCAATTCGCATCTCCTCCAACAAATTCAATTCAAGAGGACCTACCCACCAAATTAAATCCTATGATTAGGAAACCACATCAGGAGACCTGGACAAGTACAGGTTGCCAAGATGCTTACCTGAATAAGAATAGCTCCTCCAGGATCTGGGAACTTTGTACTCTTTGTAGTGCAGCTCTATGGACCTCCAAGAATCCCCAGAAACATTAAAGAAGCGATGAGCCCATCCTTCAAGAGGAGAAGGAAGGTCAAACACTAGAAGCCGCAGCTTGAAGTGCCTCCATCAAAGACAGACAAAACATGGGACCTCATCTTCGTTGAGGTCAAAAAATTAAAAAAATTCTCCTACAGTGGAAAACTTGTCATCACCCCACAAGCGCCAAAATAGGAAAAAACTGATCATGATGGCCCACCCTTTGGGAGAGAGACAAGAAGGACACAAACCACAATAAACTAAGATATAACCAATGGCAGGATGAATAGGAAGACACAGCCCCATGTTCAAAGCCCCCTCAAAGAAGCAAGGCTCCCCTCGAGAAAAATAATTACAGGGCTCATCAGAAGATGGGGCTCGCAGAGCTAATTCCACATTAAGAAAAAACTTCTTCTTTATCTCGTCTAAATATGAGGATGATATTGATGAAGGAACTAAGTAACAGGTGTGCCACTCCCACTCAATTCCAAAGAAACTTCGTTCCCTGAACAGGGGTGAGATTGGGACAGCCATTGAAGGGTTCAGGGAAAGTAAAGAAGGAAAAGAAGCAGAAGAATAGTAAACCCTTAGGAATCGAGAAGAAATTCTGAAAAGTAGAAGGATCCAAAAAGTTATAGCAAAATCGTAGAGACACTAAGCTTTAAGGCAATCAAAGTATGCACAAAAATCAAAGTCGGCGGACCTTTGGGTTTACCAATTAAAGAAGGTGGTTACACTTTTGAAAGGCAGTTAGGGAAGCGCATAAAAAAAAGAGGAAAAAGAAGGAGAGAGTTCTGCTCGGGTGTCCACATAAGATTAACATCTGTCAGAATCCAGATCCAATAGTCTCAACATTTCCTTGATACTCCTCATCTATCTCAAGCTTTAACAGCCCTCAATTGTCCAGCAGAAGTCCAGTAACAGCCCTCGACTGTCCAGTAAAATGTATTTATGAGCTAAGTGTAGCTCGTATGGCTGCATGAACCTTCCAAGCTAGCTCACTACTTTCAGATGTCTGAGAGTTAAGCTCAGCTTGTATGATTGCATGGACCTTTAAAGACAACTCCCTACATCTCAAATAACATCTAAAGCTATGTTGCATCAAATTAGTAAGGAGTATCACCCTCCACAAAGGATTCTAGCTGACCTCAACATCAAGTTGCACATTCTCTTCAACCAAACACAAGTATAGCAATCTCCTAAAGTTAGACCTCAATTTTGTTCCTCTGAAGGAAGCTCAGGGAGCCAGTAAGCTCGCAAGTTCCAACAAATTTGCTTTCAGAAGAACTCAGTTCCCCTCAAAGCAAATGGGGGGCAAGGATAGGATATAAAGTAAAAATAGCACAACTCAAAAGCAAATTTAACGAGTACAAATATAATACATAGAAGAGGAGCTGTGAATTAATTGTGCTATTTAAAAGCAGAAAAGAGTTACATCACAGAGTTACAAATTTTTCTCAACCCTAAGTTCTTGATGGGGGAGTAGTTGAAGGACTTTGCAGTTCAGCAGGAGAAATCTCAGCGACAGGAGTAGGAAGGAAGCCTGAAATTTTAGTAGAGGAAGTAGCTGGAAAATCTTCCATTGAAGGCTCTAAGATGGAAAGGGTTGGGAGCTTAGAAGGTGGAGTTTCTGTAAGCTCTGGAGAAGGCAGGGGAAGAGGAACCCCAGGAGTTTTTGAGGTAGGGACATTGACCTCTATAGATGGCGAGTCTAGGGCCAGAGCTTGGGAGACGAGGTCGGCATAGAAAGGGGCAGCCTTAGAAGCAAGAGGAGGCGTAGTGTGAACCTTAGGATTGGCCACCTCTGTCCCCTCCTCAGTGGGGGGATCAAAATTGAAATCTTGTCCAGGATAGAGCTCCTCAGCTCTATCTTGAAAGGCAAGCCACCCGGAAGCCCACTGAGTGGTGACGTTATAAGCTAACTTAGCAATTAAATTGTCTTTCTCCTTACCTACTGCCCTCTCCATCTCAAGCTCTTCTTGAAGAGTGTCGTTTGTCTCAACTAGGAGGTCATATTCGCTCTTTATAGTTTGGTAAGAGCTCAAAGCCTCTAGGACTCCTGACTGACTTTGAGTCATTCGTCTATCTTTTGCCTGAACTCCCTAGAGACTTTCCTGAGCTCATCCTTAGCTTTTTGGCCTCTTCCTTATAACTCTTGCTATCACCTTCAATCTTCTCCTTCTCTGTTTCCAAATCCCTGTTTAGTGAAGTCTGCTTCTCCATTTGCTCCTGCAAGTCTTGGATTTGAGTTTTGAGGTCGCTTTTTTCAAAGGACAGCTCAGCGACCTTAAGCTCGTAAGCCTTAGAAGCCTGAACAGAACCCTTCATAGCTTGGAACCTTTTTAGCAGCCCACTAATGTGGATGGCCATCTGAAAACAAACCCAACCCAGGAGAAGCTCAGTTCAAAGCAGTCAAATAAAAAAGAAACGTATGGATATATACAACAAAGCTTACGAAAGTAGCTGCAAAAAGGGCAATAGAAATGGAACTCTTAAATGGCATAGTGGAAGCCCGTTGGATATCAGATTCAGGGAGGATGGAAGCAATGGCCTCCGCAGCTCGCTTTACGTTTTCGATCAGGGAACTTGAGCTTGCCTCGGCGCTCCCCCCCTCTTTCACTCTTGCAGATCTTCGAATGTTTCAGAGAAGGTCCCTCAGAGGTACTAAGGGGAATAGCTCCCGGTAGAATGCGAGAGACCACCTCTAAAGCCCTCCCAACCTTTGCTAAAGAAGGAGGAGTGAGGAGCAGATCTGGCTTAAAGCCCCCACTAGAGGGGGGCAGCCTAGTTTCCTGGGAGAAAGAGGTCTGCACATAGCCTTTGGGGAGACGAGGTGGTTAGGGGCCTCACTGGGGTCGCTTGAGGAGAAGCAGGGGTCACCTCTAGCCTTGGAACTTTGGAGGCTGAGCTCCCTAACCCGGCCTTAGCCTTGCGTTTGCCTCCACTTTGATTCTTTCTCATCAAAGAAAGCTTAGCATTTTGATCCTTTGCAGTTGGCTCCATTAAAGAAGGGCCTGGAAACTCCCCTATCCGAGCTTGGGTAGTTTAAGTAAAGGGAGTTTCCTCGGTGTTTCCCTCAGCTTCAGCAGAATCAACACCAGGGAATTTATCGATCTCCTCACCTACATCGCCTAAATCTAAGTTATCTTCAGCAGACTTATCCCCCATGAGGGAAACAGAGGAAGGGGTGGCTTTGAAAGAGGCAGACATAATGGGGCAAGAAAAAGGGAGTCTAAAGGTGCAATAAAGAGGAGGGATATTCGCAAAACACTCCCTAAGGGTTTGGGGAGCAACACAGCAACTCCCAATGAGGAAGACCCTAGCGATCAAATATGGGTCTAAGAAAAAGGGAATTCGAGACAACGATTGACCTTGATTTCTAAAATAACAAAATTGAAAGGTCCAAAAATGTAAGAACCACCTCAAGTCTGAGGGATCCAGAATGAAGAGTCAAACAGAGGATAAAAAGCATACCTAGAAGAGGAGGAACAGAGGGTTAAAGCCAGAATCAGGGGCAAAGAGCAAATCACGCTGAAACCTCGGATTGGATCAGGGGAAATCATTTCGTCAGTGAAACCCTATTGGCACCAGCAAAATTGAAAAACTGAAAGTCGGAGGAAGAAGAGAGGGAAAAAGTACAGAGAGGGAGTTCAAAGGATAGAGTGAACCGTTCTCCCTCAATTCGAAAGCATTTAAAGCTAACGGTACAGAGTGGAGAACGTGCACGAGAAACTAGGAAGTGCAATGATTGCCTGAAACCGTCAAAAACCTGTTCGCACGCCAATTGAGGTCTGCATCTGGAGGTCAGACCTGATTAAGCCTCAGCTCAGCTCCCACTCAAGTTCACTTGGAGTAAGGACTAAGGGGCAACTGATAATACTCAGAGTAATTTTCAAGCATGAGGTCAGACGAGCAGGTCTGGAAAAGAAGTCAGGAAAGACACGTAGAGTCAAGTTCAGAGCTAATAGCTCCCCCCTCTCCATGTGCTCCAACAGCAGAAATGATACAGAAACAGCTGGAGGGTAACATAAATCTGCTAGGTGGCAAAGAGCTATATTCAAGGCATAAAATCCTTAACCAGCCAAGATCTTCTCCTAAGATTAAGGACAATTCTTTGGATAAATAGCAAGGATCTCGATGCAGATTCGGGAGGTCCTATAAATATCATGTAACTCTCCCAAAGTAGGGGAGAGGACCCTAATAACGTATACTCTATCTTGTAAACCTTCTGACAGAGGAATAAAGAGAAAAGGAGCAAGAGACTCCATTAAATAGTGAATTAACCGAGCTCTCAAGCTGGTGAACCACTACAATTCTATTGCGTCAATCTCCCAATTTTTCATCGATTGCTTTTTCGAGTCTTGTAGCTCAGATCCTAATAGTCGGATACTGATCATTCCATCTGCTTATTACCATAAATTTACATCACATTGATATACACAGTCAGATGCAATTATCCAAGCTTTAGCATTTTACAAAATTAATGTGTTTATGCATGCCATGGATGACGAATACCAAGCAATTTGACATCATCTATCACCGGACCACATAGACAACCCGAATGGTCACTTTTCATGTGATAAAATGTGCTCAAGAACCTGACCCGTGTGCGTGGTAAAACTGCTTTGAACCGAAGGATGGCACGCTTGAATCCACCTTTGCCCTTGGATTCATAAGGGACCGGAAGAGTAACCCCGCCTGCGAATGCCTCTACCACCATGGACCCTTCACACAAATCATTAGCGTCGCCCACCGTGAACGTGAGGGCATAGTCCTTGCCTGGTGTAGTATGAACCACTTGTGCAAGGGCACTCTCTTTTCTAGCCACCAGTTCTACCGCTCGTTTGCCCCCGGGCACGAAAAAGTGGTCAGAGTCTATGTACTTAACGGCTTTAAGGGACTCAACCATCCAACCGGGTAATGGAGAGTGATCGTCTTCAATGTTGGGAGGTATTAGGACACCGCATGAGGTGTTTGGGAACACATATGGACCCTCTTCCAAATCTCCATTTTTCAACATATTGTCTGCATTATATTTTAAGACGAATAATGAGATGTTCAGGGTTCGAATGCTGATGAAAAGTGAAGGTGACAGTGAAAGTGAAAGGAAGTTTCAAAATATTTTTACTTTATTGTTTTTGAAAGAAAAAAAAAAGTTATAATTTTTTTTTTAAGTATCTAAATTATCCTTCATTGTATTGTCTCAGTACAAAGAAGAAGAAAAAAATGTATTATAATTAAAAATTAAAAATTTTAAAAAAATTAGAGGATTATCTAAACTCAATCTAGTATAATAAATGTGCTAAATACCAGTTGCATGATTTATAGATGATTATCATATTTTGAATTATATAGTTTCAACTCTAAATTCCACATGTTTGAGGCACGTCTGACTCTTCATTTAAAAACGGGATAAATTATACTTTATCACCTTGACCTATTATCTTTATTTAATTTTATACACTCAATTATAAAATTTCTTACATTGTGCTATAAACTATCAATTTTATTTCATATCACTCTAATAGATAACGGTTGTCAATTTTTTGACATTAAATGCATATGTGAGTGGTCTCAATTAAGTAACTGTTTATTGCACATGTGCTGGTCAAAAATCAAGAAAAACACGCATCTATTACTTTGTCATTTCTAAGCTCCACATTTTTTTCTTTTAGCTGACATTTTTCTTTCCAAGAACTATTTGGTTGTAAAAGAGATAAAATTAAGTGGTTTTCGATACTTGATAGGAAGTTTTTTGGGATTTTCCTCCCTTATTTGACAAATTTTCAAGTTTGTCTTTGTCTATTGGAGTGATATAAAACAAAATTGATACTTATTATAATTGAGGGTGTAAAGTGAAAAAAAGTAATAGTTTAGAGAATAAAGTGTAATTTACTCTTAAAAAAGACTTGGTAAATGAACCCAAAGGTGGGTGTCCCCTCAATATACAATTGGGCATGCAGTTGAAGCTGCAACGTGGTGCAGCTTTCAATTGAGAAAATAAGGTGTACGAGAAGAAGCAATAGAAAAATGAAGTGCATGTGGAAAGAGAGAATCTCACCTCTTGTTCGTTTAGGTGTATACAAAGCCTTCAAAGCAACTGAATCAATAAGAAGGCCACAAGCTGAGTCCTCCTCCACACCTGGATTATGGATCACAATCTCTATTTCGTCCGATTCCGCCAAGAACCCCCATGAATAAGTGTCCCATCCATTGTAACCGTACGTAGTCTTCACCAGTAACATTCCCCAATCTTTCGGCTCTGAACTTGGCGATACCGATACGTTTAACCACTCCGCTTGGACACAGGTCCGAGCAACAGTGAACGTAAGTGAATAGAATAATTTATTTCTCACTTGAACCCGCTGTCTTATTGCTGCCTCGTTTCCCAGCCTAACGGCACAGGATCCTTCCGGTACTATTAGCAGCATGTCCCCTCGTGTTTGACCGGATTTTAGGTACTCGACAACACCTGAGATTTCCCAATTGGGTATTGCATGCGGATCCCCCACTTTGGCACCTTGCATTTGCGATGGTTTTGGGCCATACTCGAAGTTGCCATTGAGTAATAATCCTGAGAATTGAATGCATTAGCGAAAAATGTGCAAACGTAACTTTTGCCTATCCTTGAAAATTCAAATGTACTATTAAAGGTCGCGGTATCAGTTGTATTGAGTCAAGGAACTCTAAAAGACATGGTGTTGCGATATGGGATGATATGACCTAAAAGAAAGGTTAAATATGACGAGAACTTGATAATTTGATATTAATTTAAAATAACTTGGAAGACTTGGCCGAATCGTAGGAGGCTCAAAGTTTAAAGATCAAAGGTGCTTAATCGAAGATGACTCGATTGACTTATATCAGCATCGGCCAATAATGTGAACCATCATCAAATGAGTAGGGGGAAAAGGAAAAGAAAAATCAAAATGAACCGCCCAAGAGTAGAGCATTTATAATCATTATGTCGATCTTGAATGACGAAAACCTCATAAGATTTGCAGCAAAAGAAAGCATATGAGATCATGAATTTGGATCTTTTGTATTTGTGACTAACTCCACAGGGTTTGTTTTCAGTTCAAATATGACAAGAACATATCAGAAGAACCATGAAAAAGTGAACAAATAGATGCTAATTTAAGTGCTGACTCCATTACAATGGAACTCAGAGAACTGGAGAGACAAGTCAGACTCTACGGAGCAAAGTTTGGAGACTAAAATCGGTTGTTGAATTCAAAACAATGGCGGGGCTATAGTCCTCCACACCCCAAGTTGATTACGTATATAGGTGTCTATATATCTATATTTCCACATTCACCGATCGATCAATTACGAAAACAAAAACGTCAGTAAAACAGGGCTCATATTGTATAGAGAGCTTACCGTCAGTAATCGATAACGAGGCATTGCAGGTAGCGCAAAGTAGCAAAAACAATACAGTGACCTTCTTCATTGTCGATCCGAGAGAGAGAGAGAGAGAGAGAGAGAGAGAGCTGTTCGCATTGAAATAACAGGGTGACCTTCCAATCTTATGGTCCGTTACGGAGGAATGAAAATTAGAAATATGAAAAATTAGAGTGATAAATAAAATATTATATTTAATAATGAAAGAAAATAGTAAAAAATAAATGAATAAATTTTTCTTCCAAAATTAAAAAAAAATAGATGAAAAATTAATTATTTATATTAAAATATATCTTGTTTGTCTATATATTATTTGATATATACATATATTTGTATACATTAATTTTATATATAAATAAAATAATAAAATATGAATTCATAATTTTTTAAAATATATAATTTTTCTTTATTAATAATAGAACGTGTAGTTTTATTATTTTTAAAATAGTTCTAATTTATATATAGATATAAGATAGATAAAAAAAAATAGATAAACAACTTTAATACTAGTTTGGGATACATTGTAACATGACACCAAATTATACATTGGGAAAATGCAAAGGCCATGAACACAATCAATGGGCCTTTAGTCCAATAATATTCTTATGAAGGTTTTTGCCTTGTTAAAGTCAAAAATTCAAGTCTATTCTCTCTCAAAAAAAAAAAAAGAAAATTATAATTATAATTTAATTTCGTTACATTGTATAAGCTATGCATTAGATATATGGCCTTATTGTGAAATAAGTTATGCCAATGTTAATGTATCACGTTGTCGTCTGCTAAATCACTGCCGTATCGCAAGGGATCAGTGGAGAAATGCTACATTTTAAGCAACCTAGCTGTAGTAGTGACCAAATTATTCGTCTCTTTTGATACCCTACTGGTGGAGGTTAAACATAAGCCTTTTCGAGCAACATGATTTTAGATACGTTATAGTTGACTCGATGCACAATTTCCACGCAAGATACTGTTATTTTACCTGTTGGGTATTTTTGGCAGAACATGTCCTAGTTGACTCGATATGTATTTTTCATAGTTGATTGTATGCATTTTTTTAATTTACCTAATGACCGTTAAGATAATTTTTATTTTCAATAGATAATTTATGTCTATATCTATTATACTAATAAAAATACATTAACATGAAAATCTTTTGATTCACTATTTTACCCTCATAAAAAATTTAAAAAAAAATCACTTTATCCTTTCACACTTAATATTTAAATTATCATCATATTCTTATACATTTCAATCTCCAAATTACATCTAAGATCACTTTTAATTATCTATTTTCTATGTATAAATATAAAATTTTATGAAACTTTTTACTTGATTATATTACTCTTTATGCATCATTATAAGTTTTAATAAAATATCCAAAAAAAAAACATTTAAAAACTCCATCAATCTAAAAGTATCTTAACGTGAAAAATTTTTGATTTATTATTTTACCCTCATAAAAAATTAAAAAGACCATTTTATTTTTCCACACTTATATCTAAATTATCATCATATTCTTATGCATTTAAATCTCCAAATTACATCTAAGATCACTTTTATTTATCTATTTTCTATTTACAAATATACTACAAGAAAAAAAAATTTTACGACGGTAAAGTGCTGTCATAAAATATCTATTTGTAGTCACAAATACTTTTTATGGCGACAGTGACTCACCATAATAAGTGTGATATTAAAAAGTTTTTATGGCAGCAACGGTCTGTCTCAAATAATATTTATGGCAGCAAGATCCTAAAGTAATATTTATATACGTATATACAATAAAGAGTTAAAAAAAGTTAGAATATATGTCAACAGAGGGTCACACAATATTTCTCTGAATGGCTTGTCCAATTATGTAAATGATATATAAATGAGTTATATCGTATACATTTCTTTTAATTGATTTTACCAATACCTGATTCATTTATAATCGTTCGTGACGGGTCCACTCGTTTACTAAACAGGTGGTTTAAGAAATAATCAAACCCACTAATTTTATGTCGTGTTAACTGGTCGTTTCATATTTTGACACTCATAGTTTTAATATGAAAATTTGATCGACTTTGTAGAGTTTAATTTTTTTTTCTTTGAATTAGAAATTATCTTTTGATATTAAACTACGTAATTTTATAAAATATTACTTGTAACATGAAAAATAGTTGTGACCAATACAAATTTTTTTTAGAGTTTTTCTTCTTTAAACTATAAACTATTTTTTAATCTGGAACAACATTTTAATATTTTATGAAATATAATATACGATGGAAAAAATTGCTATCATAAATATAAAAAATTCTTTTGAATTTTTAAAATATTATTTGAGATAGGAAAAACAACTGTCTCAAATACAAAAATTCCTTTTGAGTTTATGACATTATTTATGGCAGAAAAAACTAATTGTCACAAATATTAACACAAACATGTTTTTTGTGACGGCAAACACAGCCGCCACAAAAAATTGTCTTAAATACGTCTTTTATGACGGCGAACACAGTTGCCGTAAAAAAATTGTCACAAAAGGCCCTTATTCTTATGGTGATATAAATTTTTATGAAACATTTTGCTTGACTATATTACTCTTAAAAAATATGTGCATCATTATAAGTTTTAATAAAATATTAGAAAAAAACCTTTAAAAACTCCATCAATTTAATATTACTTATCTCATTTATAAAGATAACATTATGACTACATTTATATATTTTATTTTTTATCAAAATGTTTAACCTTTTAATTTTTAAAATAAAAAATATTGTATATATAGTTTTACATGATTCTTCGGTCACAATAATTTTTTCAAAGTGTGCTAAGATTTTATGTGAAAATAGATTGTAGTATATTTTTAAGGAAAACTTGAATTTTTTTGTTAAATTTTAATATGGTTTATTATATATTATAATGTAATATATTAAATTTATTTTAATTGATCTAACTAATTTTAAATATAGTAAGGTTTCAATATGATTGGTATATAGACAATTATTTGTATTTTATTCAATGATTTATAAATATAATCTTAATCAAATTATTTTTAAAAAATTTGTTTTCAAACATCACTAAAATGTCACTTTCAATTACAAAATTAAAACTTTAATTATTTCTTTATTTTCGAGATTTTGCAGTTTCCTTAACTCATTCAGACAAATGACCAAAAAAACAAAAAAAAAACTCATTCAGACAAAACTAAACAAATAATCACTGATTTTTTGACTTCTCATTCTCTGTATTCTCTTTACGTCATTAAGGTGGTTTCTGTCAATTATTAGCGTTACTAGAATCCCTAATTTAAGTTTCTATTTTCCAAAGACCAAACAATGTTTTTGCATATACTCTTCAAAGTCATTTCAGATTTTTCCATTGCATGTCTCTTCTTCTTAATGCTCTGCATTTACTTTTTTTGGATATTGACATTTGTTTTGCTTCGTCCGTTTCTGATTTACATAGAATGATGGAAGAGATGAGATTAAATTACAAACACAAGGATGAGAAGCTGTGAAGGTACTTTTTTCATGTTAGCATTTTGCTTCTGCTTTTGGACTTTTTGATTGAAGAAGTTGCTTGCTATATAGAAGGAATCGCACATTAACTAGGAATTACAAAAGTTTCAAGTTGGTAATCTGACAATGGCTGATAGAAGTGCAGACGGTGGATCGGGTGTAAACATTCAACCAAAGGCGTCTTAGAGATCGGCAATAGCTGAAGTATTGTGACCATAACAGTTCAAGTTACGTACGGTTGGCGTACCACCTACGGACTTCTTAGCCAAAATAAAAACAACAAACAAAAAAGGATGCCGGTTTGGTACCTTCAGTCCAATCTTAGACAAAGAGCAAAGAGGATATGAAGTACTGCTGGGTATACCATGGCTCCAACCATGTGTGGTTCATGACTGGGCTAATAAAAAAAACAGTTTCAAGCAGGAAAATGCAGGATGGAAGGCGGAAAAGGCTTGACTTTGTTTCACATAAAAAGGACTATGGAAATTTTGTTTCCGTTGTAGTGGTGATGCTGGCATCAGTTGACCTAGTTGATAAAGAAATATATATATCAAATATAAAGAAAGATTGATTATTTATATGCAAGATCAAAGACACGATTCGCATGGGTCTACTTTTCATTTTAAAATAGGCAAGGTAACATGAAATAATGCTTGTTGGGATCTTTGGAAAGGTGATAATGGTAGACACAATATTTGCTAGCCTTTGTAGAATATCTCTGTCTAACAGTAACAGTTGTTCTATAAAGAGATTTGGGAGAGCGTCAATCTGAAGAACAAAAATAAGATGATTTGGAAATGAGACACCCACTATCAGGTTCGGAGAAACCCATGTACAGCAGAGAACTTTGGTGGAGAATGCATTCGATTTATTATTACAATTAACGTTCAAGTTAGTAACTTATTTTTGTAATTTTTTTTTTTTTGGGTACATTGGAAAGGTTCAAAATTAACCAAAGCCTCTCACATAAGAGACACTAGCACAATCATTTCTCAAAAGCTCTCCCATTGAGCTAGGTGGGGAGTAGAGGAGCACCAATCCATCATTCTACTTGACACCCAAATTTGCAAGGTTGTCAACTCATAAGTTTCCTTCTCTCCAAATGTGATAGATGGGAAAATTTAGAAAGGTGAGAAGCCTCTTGCATTCAGCAGTGATCCCTTTCTCTTGGTGTGTTTCTTCCAATCTTATTGTTAGGAGTCTATAGGCATCTAAGGAGTCTGTTTCCACGATGACATTCATCATTCTCTAAGACTAAATAATCTGAAGGTCTTTGTAAATTGCCCAGAGTTCGGCTTGCATGCTAGAACAGTTAGGAATCTTTCATAGAAGCCAAGTTGTCAAACTCCTTGGTCATTTCTAACAAGTTCTCCAATCGCTGCTGATGATGCACAAAATTGTCTTCGTACAAGATCAACAATAAAATATACGAACGGGTGCAATAAGTGAGCAATAACAGGCAATCAATGACAATTAATGATTAAAGCAGTAAATAAGGAGAAA